ATTTTATTAGACCAACTTCTATGGTGAGAGAGACAAGCTTTTGAGCCACACAGAGCTCTTCATTTAGGTCAGAAGAGCTCTGTTTGTCTCAAAAGCTTGTCTCTTACACCATCAGAAGTTAGAACATAAGAATGGCCATACTGGGTCAGTCCAAAGGTTCATCCAGCCCAGTGTCCTGTCTACCGACAGTGACCAATGCCAGGTGTCCCAGAGGGAGTGAACCTAACAGGTAATGATCAAGTGATCTCTCTCCTGCCATCCATCTCCACCCTCTGACAAACAGAGGCTAGGGACACCATTCCTTACTCATCCTGGCTAATAGCCATTAATGGACTTAACCTCTATGAATTTATCTAGTTTTCTTTTAAACCCTGTTATAGTCCTAGCCTTCACAACCTCCTCAGGCAAGGAGTTCCACAGGTTGACTGTGCGCTGTGTGAAGAAGAGCTTCCTTTTATTTGTTTTAAACTTGCTGCCCATTACTTTCATTTGGTGGCCCCTAGTTCTTATATTATGGGAACAAGTAAATAACTTTTCCTTATTCACTTTTTCCACACCACTCATGATTTTATATACTTCTATCATATCCGCCCTTAGTCTCCTCTTTTCCAAGGTGAAAAGTCCTAGCCTCTTTAATCTCTCCTCATATGGGACCCATTCCAAACCCCTAATTATTTTAGTTACCCTTCTCTAAAGGTGGTCCAATAAAACCTATTACCTCACCCACCTTGTCTCTCTAATATCCTGTGACTGACACGGCTACAACTACACTGTGTATTTCCACTGAAGTCATTCCAACACCTTTAAAAGTCAAATCATAAAGCAAAGATATATTGATTCATTATGATTTTGAAAACAGTACAAGTATTAAAAAATTATACATGTGCACTTAAAACTTAAGAAAAAATGTAAGATATTGTTTTATTCAACAAATAGAAAGTGATCATGTGATTAAAGATGGTTTCATAACAGATATGCAAGAGGGGACAGAGTTACCTTTTCACATGCAACCTTAACATTGGGATTTCATAATTTCTGAGTAATTAACTATGTAATTGTAACATTCTCTTAACATTTTAAAAATTGGATTAACAAACAATTCTGCAACAAACCCATAAAACTAGTCAAATAAGTCAGTCCGCATCAAAAAGTTTAATGGAATACCCATTGTCAACTTCACCATTCTTCTGTCTGAATTTTTTTTTAGACTACTATTGTTAGAATATCTAAGATTAGTGTGACAGAGTTTCAAGAAATAATTCTCCCAATTTTTCAGTTTATTTTGTGCATAATCAGTTTCCCTTGTTCGTTTGAATCTTTCCCCACAACAATGGACAGAAAAAACATTTAAACAGGAAAATGTAATTGCAAGTCACAAAAAAAATGACCAAGGGACTCAGTAACAAACTAATAACTGAAATTAGCTTTAGCTAAGAATTTTAATTTTTTTTAGTGTGTATTGTATTTTAGAATAGAGATGGTCTCATAACCCACCTTACATAGAAAAGAAAAGTACCTTAAGGCTGTGAAATTCAAAGGGTATTAAGGGGAATTCAATGGAAGCGGGGTGTGTGTGATTCCCTAGGTCTCTCTGAACATCCCAGCCTTAGTGTATGTTTGCTATCTTTCATTGCAACATTGGAAGTGGAAATATGGAGGAGCTAGTACTATGTGACCAATCTGCTTTCTGAACACCATCAGCAGTCCATGCATCTCAGCTTGAGAACTTCTGTTCTTATTCGTTGTTTAAAAAAAAATTGATTAGATATGAGAGCATCCCATTTGTTGCCCCATATCTCCCAAATACCTTTTAGAATCCTATCACAGGATTTGTTTGTGAAATTTCAAGTAGATTGGTTTAGGTAAAGTGAAGTTAGTGACTGTATGCATGACAAGAGTCAAGCATTGACTGGAGGACTAGCTTCAGGCTCTGAATTGAAGATTAGTTTCATTTTTAACGAATATAATCCCCTAATAAACAATCTGGGTCCAGATCTGATGCATCCAAGGGTGCTGAGGGAGTTGGCTGATATGACTTCAGAGCCATTGGCCATTATCTTTGAAAATTCGTGGTGATCGGGGGAGGTCCCAGACAATTGGAAAAAGACAAATATAGTGCTCATATTTTAAAAAGGGAAGAAAGAGAACCCCGGGGAACTACAGACCAGTCAGCCTCACTTCAGTCCCCGGCAAAATCATGGAGCAGGTCCTCAAGGAATCCATTTTGAAGCACTTGGAGAAGAGGAAGGTGATCAGGACAGTCAACATGGATTCACCAAGGGCAAGTCATGCCTGACCAACTTGATTGCCTTTTATGATGAGATAACTGGCTCTGTGGATATGGGGAAAGTGGTGGATGTGATATATCTTGACTTTAGCAAAGCTTTTGACACGGTCTTCCCCAGTATTCTTGCCAGCAAGTTAAAAAAGTATGGATTGGATGAATGGACTATAAGGTGGACAGAAAGCTCAACATGTAGTGAACAACAGCTCAATGTCTAGTTGGCAGCCAGTATCAAGCGGAGTGCCCCAAGGGTCAGTCCTGGGGCCGGTTTTGTTCAACATCTTTATTAATGATCTGGATGATGGGATTAATTGAACTCTCAGCAAGTTCACAGATGATACTAAGCTGGGGAGAGAGGTAGATATGTTGGAGGGTAGCGATAGGGTCTAGAGTAACCTAGACAAATTGGAGGATTGGTCCAAAAGAAATCTGATGAGGTTCAACAAGGATAAGTGCAGAGTCCTGTACTTAGGAAGGAAGAATCCCATGCATCACTACAGGTTGGGGACCGACTGGATAAGCAGCAATTCTGCAGAAAAGGACCTAGGGATTACAGTGGATGAGAAGCTGGATATGAGTCAGCAGTGTGTCCTCATTGCCAAGAAGGCAATGAGGACACACTGTATTAGTCCTCATTAGGCTGTATTAGTCCTCATTGGGCCGTATTAGTAGGAGCATTGCCAGCAGATCGACGGAAGTGGTTATTCCCCTCTATTCAACACTGGTGAGCCCGCACCTGGAGTGTTGCGTCCAGTTTTGGTCCCCCCACTACTGAAGGGATGTGGACATATTGGAGAGAGTCGAGTGGAAGGCAATGGAAATGTTATTATGGGGTTGGGGCACATGACTTAGGAGGGGAGGTCTGAGGGAACTGGGCTTATTTAGTCTGCAGAAGAGAACAGTGAGGCAGGGTTCCAAAGAGGATGGAGCTAGGCTGTTCTCAGTGATGGCAGATGACAGAACAAGAAGCGATCGTCTCAAGTTGCAGTGAGGGAGGTCTAGGTTGGATATTAGGAAACACTATTTCACTAGGACGGTGGTGAAGCACTGGAATGGGTTACCTAAGGAGGTGGTGGAATCTCCATCCTTAGAGGTTTTTAAGGCCCGGCTTGACAAAGCCTTGGCTGGGATGATTTAATTGGTGTTGGTCCTGCGTTGAGCAGTGGATTGGACTAGATGACCTCCTGAGGTCTCTTCCAACCCTAATAATCTATGATTCTATGACTCCATGAATTATTTGCTTAATTAAGTTCAATAGAATCAAAATTCAGCCTAACCTGGATAAACACTGGCAACTTGTCAGGTCATGCCTAATTTGAATATTATAAGGCAGATAGCAACCACTCTCGTTTTTAATGAGAAGGCATAGCATTTAGAGAAGATGATTGTCATATCTTACTTTTAATCTAGTTCATTACATTTTCTTTTAGCTTCTTATTTAAGTTACACAAAATTTTCTAGCCATAGGTACGCAGATCTCCAGGTCCAGCTTTCATCTCAGGATCTCAACACTTTACAAATGTTAAATTACATAACACCCTTCTAAAGTAGGTAAACATTATTATCTTTATTTTGCAGAAAAATACACTTATACAAAGAGATTAGCAGCAGAATCTGCAGGAATGCTGACTGGGGCTGTGTCTACCTCACATGAGGTATGTTTACACTGCAATAAAACACCCAGGGCTGGCCTGTCAGCTGACTCAGGCTCATGGGACCCAACTTGTGGGGCTATAACATTGCAATGTAGATAAAGGCTTGGGCTGGAGCCTGGGATCTGAGACCCTCCCCATTTGCGGGGCCTCAAAGCCCAGGCTCCAGCACAAGCACAAACATCTACACTGCAATGTTATAACCCCACTGCCTGAGTCAGCTGACATGGGCCAGCCACAGGTTTTGTATTGCAGTGTGGACGTACCTTTAGGCACTGATCCAGCAGGATTCTTAAGCAAGTGCCTAACTTTAAACACAAGAAATCCTACTGAAGTCAGTGTCATGACTCACATGCCTAAAGTTAAACAAATGCTAAAAAAACTTTGCTGAATTAGGGCCACAGCAGAATTTGTGTGGGCCAAACTAAGTGAACTATAGGGGGTATTAGCAGCTAATCAACCCCTACCTACATGGTAATTTTTAATTTTAATGGCAATTGTTGTACGTAAAGAAGTCAACAGTCACCAACAGTTACCACACTGTAGTATCTGGAATCTGACAGTATGTCCTTGGTTTTAGAACATGATAATTTCTGCATTTCAGATATTGTGGTGTGGTATCTATTGACTGTTTAAGGGCTAACGTGGTGCAAGAGATTACCACACTATCAGCATCCCATAGGGGGCGATAAAGTCCACAAGCACTTTTAGCTATTAAGCAGTCTGCTCAAAGTATGCAACCGACCCTTTGCAATGATTCATAACCAGGCTGGTGCCCACTTCACGAACACGCTTCAGTTTGAAAACTACCAATGTTTGTTTTTCAAGTATATTTCATTTGTCCCTTGAACATTTAGCCCTGGAACAAATATCAAAGACTGCTAATTCTAATTGTTCCCAGTAAAACTTTGGCAACCCCTCTAGCCCTTCAGCTTTTGGACACTGTATGGAACCATTATACATATATTGTTTGCCCTTAGAAACTAGTGTGAGGGGACAGTATTTGAGATGTGAAAGGATGCAGAAAACTGAATTCAATCCAATTCACAAGCAGAGGTCTTTACCTGTTTATACCTTCCTTGGTGTAGAATACCGTATAGGTGAGGTTGTCTCCATGAGGATCTGATGCTGGTGTCCGCCACGTGAGTTTGATGAAGCGAGTAGAGACGAGAGAGGCCACGACATCCCGAGGAGCCGAAGGCAATGGTCCAGTTGTAGCTGGTGCTAGATGGTCAGTAGTGGCACTGGTCAGTGAAGTGGGAGGTAATGTTGGGATGGCAACATCTTGTCATGTGCAAACATTGGGGAATATGAAGGGCAAACATCACGACGGTTTAAAAAAAGAAAACAGAAAAAAACAAAAGAAATAAACAAAACCACGATGGGAAACAAAACAAAATGAACACACACACAAAAGGCCATTAAACTGAAGGTTGACATGCAGGCAAAAGGTAACTACTGAAAACTAATGGGAAATATTAAAGGACACATCATTGTAGAGCAAGCAGACCAAATCTCCATTGTAATGGAAGTGGCAAGGGAAGGGGAAGGGTGAGAATTGAGGAAAAATATCACCTCATAAGAGGACACGTCAGTGCCCAACAATATTTTTCATTTTTTGTAAGAAATAAAAAAAAATCAACTTTCATTTGCTATTCAATAGTACAGTCAAACCTGATTTTCTATTTTACTTTGTTAAAATGTGGTATTAATTTGTACTAGACTCAGTTATAAAAGGTATTCTTTGGATTATACAAATCTCATTGAAGAGGCACTGCAAGGTTATCCAGTTCTGATGGGCAAATTATGAAGTAGGTTAGCAGAGTTCCAGTCACGTATCAAACTATAGTGTCACCTACCTGCTGCATAGTACCATGTAACTGGCATCTGAAGGAGTTTGGGGTGTAATACAGTCACTACATCTGACGCAGTGATATTCTTCCTATGAAATTTAGACAGGTGCTCCTATCTTCCACCCAAATCAGGTATTTCTCTCCAATAACTAGTTTATTGATTTTTAATTACAATTTTAAAGGGTATTAACAGAACCACACCTAATATTGCTTCATGAGATGAAGAATGCTATGTAAACTTTGTTGTCGAATGTCTTGTATGTCATCAGATATGACACCTCTATAGCAATGCTGAGACAAATCCCTTGGATTAATATATTAAAAAGTGGTAAACTGTAATCTGATGCATGTTAATAGCAGCAGCTACTGTATGTAAATAGTTTTATGCTAAATCCCATTAAGGGAATCCATGCAAGCCTCCACTAAATCTAGTGCTAATATTCCGTGAAGGAGAAGCCCAGTTACATGCAGTACTATAGACTGTGCATGCAACAACTCTGATTGCTAAAGTCACCTGACATTTTCCATTACAAGATTTTTTTTTCAGTTGCTTACAACTTTATTAAAAACTTAAACCATTCAGGTTGACTTGTTTTTGGAAATGTCATCTAAAACGGTTCAGCCATTTCCAAAAATGTGGTTAGGGAATAATACATGTTTTTAACATTCTTACAAACATTTTGTTGAGAAGTCATAGTGCCTCCATGATATGGAGCAGCAACTTGACATTTTAGGATGTGGACCCTAAACTCAGGTGTCTAAAGTCAAAAAGTCCAAATCATTAACTGTCCACTTTCTAAGCTGTGTCATAATACTAAAATAATAGCAAGGTATTATTGTTCCTTTATAGTTTTTCTGAAAATTATTTTGTACTTTGTTTTACATTAACCATATGTAAGCCTAATCATCATGTCCTAAATATTACTGATGTGAAATCTGAATGAGCACTAGTTGAACAGTCTGACAATCATTGTGATTGCTTAGATAATGGAACTGTTTTTGACCTTCTTGGAAATCAGGATTAAATTGGTATTTACAATAAGCTAAAAACATCTTTGATGCATGCTATGTAGCTTGCATCACATTTCAGGCTTTACATTTAACTTTAGACACTTTAGTAGAGTCTCTGGTGTGAATTATTAAAATTTGGAGTTTGCCTCACTCTTTTGCCGATGGTACACATATGCTATTAAATTTCTTTTATGCAGTTATGATATCAATAGGAAGAAGGAGGAAGTGACTGATTGTTGTGCACTAGAGGCATAGAGGGACAACTGCAGTATTGGTGGATGATAAGCACCTCTGTCATGAGTGGCAAGGACACAGACACATCCACAGAATAAAATAATGTTACAGTTGCATGAACGACAAACAAGACAGCAAATCAGCGCAGACACTGAAAGACAGGGCTATTGACAGTGTTACTAAAAGAACCTTCATTTTAAATTCCAAATATGAAAACTGTCAACAAAATATCCTCTCAGTCTTGACCAAGCAGAATTCTCTGTTCTCATAGTTTCCATTTCTCAAACAACTGACACCAATGGCTAAAGCAATATATACAATACACTTACAACAATGCTTATAGTTTAGTTCAGGGGTAGGCAACCTATGGCACGTGTGCCAAAGGCGGCACGCGAGCTGATTTTCAGTGGCACTCACACTGCCCCGGTCCTGGCCACCGGTTTGGGGAGCTCTGCATTTTAATTTAATTTTAAATGAAGCTTCTTAAACATTTAAAAACCCTTATTTACTTTACATACAACAATAGTTTAGTTCTATATTATAGACTTATAAAAAGAGCCCTTCTAAAAACGTTAAAATGTATTACTGGCACGCAAAACCTTAAATTAGAGTGAATAAATGAAGAGTTGGCACACCACTTCTGAAAGGGTGCCGACCCCTGGTTTAGTTTATGCTTCGTATCACTTTCATATTGCAGGTTCAGTCCTTAAAAAAACAAAACAAAACCAAGAACAACTCGTCATGTTTTTATAGTGCTAGAAGTGATATTCATTGGCTGATAGCCTAGAATATTTGCTTTTATCAGACCTACAGAATATGATGAGAACTACTTAATATGAAACAATCACGCACACGATGCTTCAGAGACCTATACTTTTATTGGTTAAAGGACCACAGCAAATAAGTCTCCATCTCTCTTCTCTCTTCTCCTTTGATTGAGACCTTGCATTCCCTCGACTGACTGGGCCTTAACTCCGCCCCACATATCACATACGCCAATCTACCACCATAACTACCACTATATCACCACTATAACTGCCACATAGTCCACATCTTCTGAAATCTGCTCCCCCCCCTTTAAAAGCTCCTGTCTGACCTTGTTTACATTGGCAACGTTTGGGAAAAGTGTAGGTGAAGCCATCATGACCACTAAATTCCAGTGACACGGATATTATTGCTGGGATACTGTGATCAGAGTCTATTTACTTTAAGAAGAGTAATTTTCAGAGATTGTCTAAAGCCCCCAGAACCTGGGATAGGTGTGTTTTTGCTGAGAAACTGAGATACAACAGACTAATAATCCCGCCAAATACCAGCATGTACAGAATGCCATTGACTCTTCTCAGACAAACTATGTAGTGCAGTCAGCATTCCCAACTTCAAACAACTCCACTAGGTTCTCATCCATTTCAGAATCCAATCCAAGTTTTTTCCCCCTTATTTCTTTATGGATTTCTTACAGACATCTGGTCCTTGTTCTTGGGCCAAATAAGAGCTGCAGCAACCCAGGAGAGATGTGGCTGTATGTGGCCTTACACTGCTTCACCTAGTACTCCTAAGTGTATGGGAGGTATCAAAGGATAAAGGGGCAAAGCAGGAGAATAGCATTCATCAAAGTGCTTAAGTGCATGCTTAACCTTAAGCATATTCATAGTCCCATTTAAGTCAGTGGAGCTCCTCTGAAGCTCATATTTAAGCACCTGTCTCACTGGACTGTGTCCCTAATCACTGACACCCTTTATGTTCCCTCAACACAATCTTGCTATTGTGGATAAAAATGTGGTAGCCTTCTATATAGCTCCTGTAATCATGAATAATCTCCCAGCATAGCTGAAGACTCTCGTTTTTAATTCCAGTTGAAAACCTATTTTTCCCCTGCAGATTTTATTTCCTTTCCTTCTATTCTTATCTCTGTTACTTCATTATTTAATTCCATTAAGTACTTTGGGATTCAGTTTGTGTGAAGAGTGCTATACAAATATCAAATTGCACTGTACTGCATAGAAGCCATGTCAGGCAGCCATTCGTCTTCTGAAGTGGTAACTTCTGGTCCATCCCTGAAAGATGACTGCTCCACTGCTACAGGGTAGCATTTTCATAAGCACTTAACTGTGTTTGGAACCTAAATTCCATTCCAGGGGGACTTAGGCCCCTAACTCTCATCCCCTAACA